AACTGTAGCACTTTACTCTGTTTGTCTTCTAGTGCTTGTTTAGGAATTCTGGACAGACTCTTCATTTTTAGAGGTCCAGACTTTGTCTTCGAGTCATTTGTTCTTGAATCAGCATAATTATCTTCAATCTAGCCGTTGAAAATCAAGAGATTGATTTTTCCTTACCGACGAGTAGAATTTCTTCATTCAAGACTTAGATAATTTTTCTAAGTCTTTTCTCACTTGTCCGCTTTTTGAGAATTCCGATCTTCAATGAGTCTTCCGATTCTTAGCTGACAAATCCGGAGGAGTCATTCTCAGACTTCCGGGGGAGAAAGAGATCCGCGCTAGTCTTCCGATTTGCATGACTTAGCCTTCAGCGGGTTGTAGCGAGACATCCGGTTCTTATGTAGTCTTCCGGATCAGAGGATTTTCATTTGCTTGAGAAATCCTTACTTGTCTCTGATATTTCCGATCAAGATATCCAATTTCCATATCACTAAATTTTGATTAAGTCTTCAGGCATCAAAACGCTTAAAGAAATATCACAACTTTATTGGAAATCTCAAGAACTCGGTTTTAACAATATTTCTAAAAAGAAAAATTACATTGAATATTGGGGGAGACCTAAAGTCCCTATTACATTCTAAATACATCATCATCAAAATCTATAATATTTTTCCCAACAAGTGCCTTTTCTTCTTTCTTCATATCACATATAGTCACTCTCATAAGGAAAGATGTCAATTGTTTATGATGTTTTATTGAGAAACCATCGGAAGCAAGGATCTGATTCAAATATGTGGAGTTCTTTGGGTCTTCATCTTCATCAAACAAAGAAAGTCATTCGGGTCCGAATTGCAAGCATAATATTTGTGCTAATCTGTATGTCCCTCTAAACCCCTCTATTGTGGGAAGAGAGGTAAACTATAAATTGATTAAGCACAATCAATTAATTATATGTAACCGTAATTAGAAAAATTGATTAAGCAAAATGGGAGTAATGATGTAAACTTAAAACTTAATTGGGAGCATCAATGTCTTTATTTGATTTTGGAAGTATTATTGTTTAATTCCAAATTTCTGGGAGTATTTGTATAAATTTTTCCTTTTTTATATGTTGAAATCACAATTTTTTGCCATGGAAATAAGAACCACCATGCTAGGGGTACACCAAAAGTGTATCCAAAGAAATGTACTGGCATGAAATGTTACTTCAATTAAAAAATTGTCTCTGGGAACAAATCGCTTCATCCTCCTCAGCCCGCCACGACCTCCACTTCTCCACCTTCAGCCGGTCACGCACCGCCGCCGTTTCTCATCCTCTGAAGTCTCTCTTTGAGAATGGCAACAAGTCTTCTATTCTCCAGTAAGGGTTGCGACCAGTACTCGCTCATCAGGTACTCCTTCAGCCTACGACTCTCCATTTTCCTGCAATTTATAGGTATTCATTTATTTTAATTTGCTTCCCCCTTAGCTCCTTCAATACAGAGAAGCCACACTCTACTAATTTAACTTCTGCATCTATTTAATGTGATTTCTACTTCTCTTTTGTGTATCCTGAAGACCTGAACTGAAATTTGATGTAAAGATCTCTTTTTTGGGTGAGAATTGGAATTCTTCTGAGATTAAATTAATTGTGTATTTGTTTATATTTCTATTCATTTCTAAACTTGTAGTTCTTGTTAATGTAGTTGAGCTGCTATTATTGTTATGCGGAGTATTAAAACTTGTTATAAGTTGACTTTCGATTTGGGACTTATTTGCTGTGTTTGTCCCTATAAGGCTTTGACTATTGGTGCTATCTATCTTTCCAGAAAAACTACAAGATGGAGGTCTCCTAAAGCTGCAGTAATTCCCAATTTTCATCTTCCTATGCGGAGTAATGAGGTTAAAAACAGGTGCGTTGTTTGACGTAATTTATTCCATTATGTTCTTAATTATAGTTCTTGTTTCTTATGTGGTTAATTTCATTTTTCTTTTTTCTTTCTGCATGTAAACTTTACTCTTTCTTTCTCTTCCTCTTTTTTACACAAGGAACGTGAGTAACTAAATAGGAAGATTTATTGTTTGTTCCTGGTTTGTCTCAAAATTTCTTAAATACCAGCTTTTATTTATCAAATATCAATCATCAGCTCAATCGATGAAGACAATATTATTCCTTAGTTCGGATGTTGTGTTATGCATCTATTTAAAAAATTTAGAATGATTTTTTAGCAGTAGACTTAGGGCATGCTCTTTTCAACTTTATATTCGAGACTCTAGACTCCAATATCCAGATTTTAGTTAAAATTACTATTGCATTCAAACTCCAGGTTTTAGACTCCAAACTTGCTTTAGTTAAACTTAAGGCAAATTAAACATACCTTACTGTCAGCAGCTCAATGTGAATGATATCTTTCGTCGAGAAGTAATTTAATTACTATGATTTTTCCTTCTCTAACACCTTCGTGTTGCATATCTCTTGTGTTTTTTAAAACACATGCAGTGGAGGTAACATGATGTGATAGAACACTCTAATTGCTTATACCATTTTTTGACCTCTCTTAGGTACTCTCGTCATACAGTTATATGAATCTTCTGTGTAGATGCACATGAAATCCTCATCTTATTCTCAATATCATTTTTTGTTTTTCGGGATTATATTGTAAGGATGATAAGGAAACAGTGATGCATGTGTCAAGCTCTTGTGCACTAGATATATTAAATTACCAATTAAAGAAGTTTTTTTTGCTTCTTCTTTCTTCTTGCTGCGTACACACACCCTTCCCAGACCCTACTCTTGTGGGATTGAACTGGGTTGTTGTTGTTGCATTCTTCTCGCTTTTTGTTTCTTTGGGTTGAGGAAAACTAACATTTTATCTATTTTGTTCAACTTATCAAGCTTTATTGGGCATGATCATGGATTCTTTGAAAAGAGTGATTAGGAGAACTTTTGAAGTAACTAAAAATTTGTTGTAACTTCCAAAAATATTTTGGATGGATGCTTTATGAGAGTGGCAAATGAAATTACTCTTCCCTTAGTTTATCCCCAATACTAATACTTTTCTTTCATATAGAAAGAGAAGAGTTTCCTGTTTCTTGATTGATTTTGCTTGTTTTTTTTGGGTAGGACATATGCTGAGGATATAAAAGCACTCAGATTGGTTAGTGCAATAAAAACTCCATATCTACCTGACGGAAGATTTGATCTTGAGGCCTATGATGCCTTAGTGAACATGCAGATTGAGAGTGGTGTTGAAGGGGTAATTGTTGGTGGCACAACCGGTGAAGGTCAATTAATGAGCTGGGATGAGCACATCATGCTCATTGGCCACACCGTCAACTGCTTTGGTGGGTCCATCAAAGTCATTGGGAACACAGGAAGCAACTCAACCAGGGAAGCGATCCATGCCACAGAGCAAGGCTTTGCTGTTGGGATGCATGCAGCCCTTCACATCAATCCCTACTACGGCAAGACATCCTTAGAGGGAATGGTCTCTCACTTTAACGGCGTGCTCCCAATGGGACCCACAATCATCTATAACGTCCCATCAAGAACCGGTCAAGACATTCCACCCAGCGTGATTCACAAGGTGGCAAAGAGCCCTAACCTGGCAGGTGTGAAAGAGTGTGTTGGGAATGATCGAGTGGAGCAGTACACAAGCAGCGGGATTGCTGTTTGGAGCGGGAACGACGATGAATGCCATGATGCAAGGTGGGGTCATGGTGCGACAGGTGTCATTTCTGTAACGAGCAACCTGGTCCCTGGTCTGATGAGACAACTAATGTTTGGAGGAAAGAACCCGACACTGAACGCAAAGCTTCTTCCTTTGATGAAATGGCTGTTTGAACAACCAAACCCTATTGGTTTAAATACAGCCATGGCACAGCTTGGGGTCGCTAGGCCCATATTTCGCCTTCCCTATGTTCCACTTCCCAAGGCAAAAAGGGAGGAGTTTGTGAAGATTGTGACCGATATTGGCCGGGAAAACTTTATAGGAGAGAAAGATGTCCAAGCTCTCGACGATGATGATTTCATTTTGGTGGGTCGATATTAATGAAGATTCTGCAGTGTTTCGTTACAACTAGTTTTTCTTTATCATTATCATCATCATCGTCATCATCTTCTTCTTTTTTGTGTCAAATTTAACTGCTAGTTCTGTTGTTGAACTCCATTAATCAATCGTGTTAGATGTTTTGTGTTCCACTTGTTGATGACTTGAATCACTTAATGTTATCCCATTTCATCTTTCTCATAATTCAGTATTTTGATTTTTGGTTGAGGATATAATAATTTGTTACTGCTTGATGATTGAATTTTGGTGACTTGAATTTTAAAGCTTAGTTTCTATCCATTTCTCGAGTATCAAACAATGCCTAAGAAATTTCACAGTTGGTATTTCTTTGACATTCCTCCCATTATTTCTTTCCTGAAGTTTCTATTCCAACTTAAATTGTGCTTCGTTGGAGTTGGAGGGGAGATGCGGAGGGAGTTTTTAACAAGTCTTGTTTGGTTGAAAAGGGGAAGGGATGAAGAGAAATTAATTACTCCTTACTATCCCGTCTTTGAAAAAACTTTACAGTCTGCATGAAGTTTAATACGGAGTACTTGGTAATAATTTTCCAAAAGTGAGTTATCTGATGAAAAAAATGTGTGGTTAAAATTTATTTCGAAAAAAGAATTAAATATCGACATATTTATATTTTAAGAGAAAGTAAAGTATAAAATTGATTACCATGTTTATGAATATTCCAAGAAAAGGAAGATTTTATGTTAATACTCTAAAGTGTGATCTAGCTAGACCCCCTCCCTCGCTTATGGTTTAGAAGTTAGAACTCAAAAAACTGAAACGTTGTAAAACTGAAAAATTTAAATGCAGACTCATGGCCACTTCAAAGGGGACCCCATATCTCCCCTAATATTTGTTCTAGTTATGGAATATCTTATTAGACTGTTGCAAGAAATGGCAAGCCAAGGAAGATTCAAATACCACCCAATGTGTGCAGAAATGAAGATCATTAGCCTTATGTTTGCAGACGACCTAATAGTGGTATGTAAGGGGGATGACGGTTCTATCCAGTGTATTATGAAAGAACTAGAGAGATTCAAGGAGACTACTGCAAATCAACCCAAACAAATCCCAAGTGGTTTTTGGAGGAGTCAAACCACAATAGCAGGACAGCCTACTCAAGTTAAGTGGAATGGGCAGAGAGGCAAATTACCTTTCACTTATCTTGGTAGCCCAGTCACTACTTCTCGCCTTAAATCCTCAGATTGTGACAGATTAATTGCCAAGCTAACTGCCAAGATCAATGCCTGGAACTCTAAGCATTTCTCCTATAGTGCAAATGTTAGACTTATTAATGCCATGCTTATGGGGCTCATCACTTTCTGGGTCAGAATCTTTATTCTGTCCAAAATGGTGCTTAAGAAGATTATAAGCATATGCAGAAACTTTCCATGGGGTGGGGCAGCAGATTACTCCAAATCTCCTATGCCAACCTAAGAGCAAAGGGGGTCTAGGGCTAAGAAACATCATTAACTGGAACAAAGCAACCATCATGAAATTAAACTGGGACATAGCTAACAAGAAGGATGTGCTTTGGGTCAAATGGATACACTCCAGGTATATTCAATCTGCTAGTTACTGGGATTATATCCCTAAGCCCAGCTCTTGCCATTATTGGAGACAAATGGTAAGGGTGAGGGATAAATTTAGGGAAATGCAGCTTGTTGGGGAGTTTGAGGTGAAAAAAGGCTATGAATGGCTTCAGGTGTGGAACAAAGCTACCCCTCCCAAAGTGCAGTTTATATCCTGGCTTTTAATGCGAGATAGACTTTTAACCAAGGCTAGAATGGCTAAATGGTGTTCTACAAACACTGATTGTGTACTGTGTGGAGGTGAATTAGAGGACAACAATCATCTATTCTGTAATTGTGAGTATGCTAGAAGGGTGTTAAATGCTGTTTTGCTACCTTACAACCTGCGGTATGATCAACACAGCATTGCAGAATTTGGTGAGATGATTAACACAAGGGTGAGATGTACACTTCGCGGGGAGGTTATCGCAGCATGGGCGATAGGATGTTATGGCATATGGAGGGCACGGAATGGGATTATTCATCAAAAGAACATCACGGAGCTAAATACCATTGAATTTATTAAGTTTACCCTTCATAGTTATATAGACTACAAAAGGAAAATGTAACTAGCTTGATGTCAGTATTGATCTTGTACTGAATTTTTTTTGGAAGTGGAATATATTAGTACGTTTGTTCAAAAAAAAAAATTGAATGCTGCAAATGGAAAAACAAACATGTGTAAAACTAAAATCAAAATGTATTTAAAACATGTTAAATATTTTTGGGTACAAAAATGAATCGAACTTTGATAGGATATAAGATATATGTTGCTTCATTTGGAAAATAATTTCAATAATTTGTTCCTAAAATTCATTTTCTTCATTTTTTAATCATTTTTTACACTTTTTTGAATTATTCTAATTATTAAAGTTCATTTTACTTTTTTTCATAAAATTAGGTGTACTTTTAAAAAAATCCTTCTTGTACAAAATAAATTGGACACATATGGCAGGGTGGAACGCTCTTGTCACTCCACGCCAAGCAGGGATGATGGCCAATGTGCCAACACAAGGCAAGGAGATGTTTTGCTATTGACAATGCTCTTAAGAGTCGACTTGCAACACAAGGTTGTAATTTTAATATACGGGGTATTTGTCAAGAAACTAACTCAATCAAAAGTTCAAGTTCGTGAATTTTATACTCAAATACACCCTCTAACCTATAAGCGAGATCAATGTTTGCTAAAGTCTTGAGCGTGAATATTATTTTTCACGAAATGATGGTTACACCAATTCCTCACTAGTAATGTGGGGCAGCGACTTATGCATAGGGCAAGTTTGGACTCTTTTTTTATATGAGTAAATTCCATAATTGGTCCTTTATAACAGGGGGGTTTCTATATTTAGTCCTCTATTATCAAATATTACCCCGTAGTCCTTTTTTTAAGGGTACCTTTCCACAAATGGTCCTTTTTTTTATCTTCTGCCGTGTTGGTGTTAATTTAAAGGCTAAAAGTATAATTTGACGTCAACATTATGTCTAGTGACGTGTTCTGATATTGGTTAAGCGGATAACACAAAAATAATGACTATGATTGTGGGCTAGGATTCTGACGAAAGATCTCATTTGTAGACTATAGTTGTCGTAAAAAGCTACTGTAATTCACAAACGACGCAAAGAGAACATCCTTTGGAATTGTGTATGACAAAAAAGATATATCATAATTGTGAAATTACACTTTTAGCCCTCAAATTAACACCAACATGATAGAAGATCAAAAAAAGGACTATTTGTGGAAAGGTACCCATAAAAGAAGGACCACTCGGATAATATTTGATAATAGAGGACTAAATAGGGAAACCCCCCTGTTATAAAGGACCAATTATAGAATTTACTCTTTTTTATATAGGTAAGTACTTATACCTTCCGTGAACTGAGGCTAGAATGTTGGGAGAAAGCAAAAACGTGCACAATAATGAATGTGACAAATTAAATACATACAAATTTACAGAGAGAGTGCCCAGTCAAGTGAATATTCATTCTTACATGGCATGACAATCCTAAGACTTTTATTTCCCTAAACAAACAACACTGAACACTGCATTTGTAGAACTTGCACTCCATGAACTATTTTACACCACTCATCTTAAGCTCATCAGTTCATTCAACACACGAAGGCCAATAATATTTACCTTTATTCATCCAATTCTGATTTTTGAATCGTATCCCCTCAATGTAAGCATATTAACTTCACGCCCTTCATAATTCCGGAACATCATCATACATCATCCAGCATATACAATTTTTATAAAAAAAAACCTGCAGGGAGTCGAATGCAAAACAAAGAAAGCTTCAGAGAATCGGCCAATAACATACACTTCATGTTTTTACAACCCAAAAGAATAGAGCCATAGAGGGTAAATCATCTCATTTGTGTTTGCCTAAAGGAAAGATAGTCTTTGACTGCCCATAAAGGAATACTAGACAAATACTCCAGAATTGAGGGAGTAATTTTCTGTTACCATTCCAGCAGAATCAGGTAATCAAACTGGATTCTAAGATCTAGGATACTTTTGTTACAATTTGAATCCTAGCACCGGATGGTTAGAAACATATCACAACATGGGCAATTTTCAATTTTTATTTGGAACATTTACAAAATATATCATAATTATTTCAAGCCAAACTTTGGTACAAATAAAAAGATAGACCAAACTAATATGTGTGTGTGTGTGCCACATGTTTCAAAATAGGAAGGCTGTACTGCTATCAAATAATACAGAAGTTGAAATCAGCTTAAACTCACCAAATTAGAAGAGAACACTCATGAAGTCATTTCGAGGAATTCCTCGGAGCATTTGGACACCAACATTTGTATTGCCAACAATATTCATACCCGGCTCCTGCTTCACTATGCATGTATTATTTTCATTATAGACTCTAGAATGATGTATGTTGCTTATTGATAGTTCAGATTCATCAACAGCAAATCGGCTAGGAATGGATGATCCTCTACTGGCACACCCAAGATTCTTAGCAGGCTCCTGGTCAAGTAATTGGTCAGGTTTCTGATGGTTTTGAACAGGAATGCCAAGGTTAGGTACAATGCCTTCCAGATCTCTATTAGCACCGCTAATCATGCAAGCTGAGTTCTGAATTTGCCAGCTAGTGCGGTTATCAGCATTTGCACAGCATGATGCGACAGATGGAGAGAGAGAACCTGTAGCAGAAAACATATTAAAACCATAGTCGTTACGGCGAGAAGGCGAGACGCAAGGAACCTTCACATCAGCTAATCGGTTAGGCGCTCACTTAGGCGACACACACACACACACACATTAATAAGTTTCAAATTACCAATGTAATGTAGCCAAATTTAAATTATAAAGTGGTCATGTTAAACAATTCAAAATTCCAAAAGCAACAAAAAAACTGAAAATATCATATATTCATATTTATAATGCTATAAAATAAAACACCATACATGAATACACCAGTCCCAAATTATATTTCTCACTTTGACTTCATGGAGATAAAGGAAAGCGTTGAAAAAATGTTGAAAATTTTTAAGTGAGTGGATATAATTTATTTAGAAAGAGAAGTATTTTGGACCAAGTCTTTTTTCTAAAAGGAGAGAGAAAATGGGAAAACTATTTGGGACTGATGAAAAAGGAAAGTGGGAAAACTTTTGCAGGAGCGAGTGCAGCAAGGTTAGGCAACTTGTGTCGCCTAATAATTTTGTTCCCTATTTGGTACTTAAACTGGACCCAATGACGAATTACCTGATTGAGGAGAAAGAATTCTGGAATCTATAACATCATTACTGTTGCTAAAATTGTTGGTCTGGCTTATTGGAGCCAGATTACTTGTGCCTTGAGAATTGGTGGCAGGAACCACTAGGCAAGAGGGCTGCACACTAACTGGGCGGCAAAATTCCGGGCTAGTAGATAACTTCTGTGGTTGCCCCACTAGTTGCTGAGTTTGGCATTGCTGATGATGTTTCAACACTGTTGCTAACATATTATTACTGTTTTGGGCCCCTACACCACTAATATTAATACTAGGAACCACACAAATGTTTTTTGGAGGCCAAGCTCCAACAGCAGAAGAAATATTCTCTGTTGGCAAATGTTGAGTGACTTGCTTGGAGATCTTTGGCGGGCACTTCATCAGAGGCTGACCATAAGACACATCTTGATTTTCAGGAATATATTTGGGTCCCAGCAGAGATGCATGTAGCATAGCTGGATGGTCAATTGTTGGCAAACCTAGACCACTAGATGGTTGACCTAGAAGCTCGGCATGAAGAGCTGCCAATGTTTGGGGAGAAATTTGGCATGAGGCTGCTAGTGCTTGTATGTCATACATCTTTGGATTCAATTCAATTGGTCCACAGAAGGAATTCAGTAGTCCACCCTGTTGAGCAAATCCACTCAACCTTTTCAAATAAAGCCTAAATTTCTGCATGCAAGTAAAAAAAATATTACAAAGAGAAATGGGTAATGTAAAAGACAAATATGGGCTTGGCCTCTTCAACAATTTGGACACAATAATTAAATTTCACATTTGAGAAGTAGTCAGATGAGATTAGCTAGAGATAATGCAAGACAAGAGACATATCTACTTATCCAGCGTATTACCAATACCCTCTCCTGCTCTCCTATTATGAAGTACAATTACTTTTAAAATGCCAGAAATGGAATATCTCTATGACTCTATTTAGTGAGACAATTAATGATCAGATGACTTTTTGTATAAATATAATGATTCCATATAGGTCAGATAAACAAAGTACTAATAAATAAAATACCAACTCTTCCAAAAAAAACCAACTGGGATCTATCTGCTTTACATACTCCGTATATTAATATATATGTCTAGGAAAACACACCATAACTACTTTTCATGGAATCATCACTCAAATGTGTCCTAAGCATATCGATAGATACAATATTGTCAAATCATCAGGAATGACTGCTGACTGGGGATGCTAAAAAGCTGCATATCTGTTGTGAATTATGAAAGAATTATTTGAAAAGACAGTTTATTCACAGAGCATTTAATGATGCATAAAACATTATCAGAAACATGGAAATTTGCAACATAATACAAGTATACAACTGATCAAATTAATTGGGAACGCTGATTAATAAGGTACTTTGAACTGATTAACAAATTACAATTTATTTGATGAGCTAACTCCAACATCTTCATTGATGGCAAATATTAATTCCTAAGATGAGCTAACTCCAACATCTTCATCGATGGCAAATATTAACCATGTCTAACAGCACAGCTTTAGAATTTACAACATAAGAACAGTTTTCTAGTCATACTATCATACAGCTGAGTTATCAACTGGTGCACCCTATTTAATGGAGACATGTAATTGAAGTGCTTGTGGTTCTCCCATCTAGATCTATATGTGAAAGGAAAATGGTGAACACGAAAAGTAAGATACTAAAAACATTTCTGAAAGGCATTCAGACCTGCAAATGACTAGCAACATTTTCCCTTGTTAATCCAGGAATGTTCATTAGCTCTAGGATTCTCTTAGGTACAGCCTCTGTAAAGAAATACAGCATATTAGCTAGAATATGAAAACAAGAAATCCATTGGTAGGGATATATTTTGTATATACAATTCATTTAAGTTTGATGCAAAAGCTCATACTATCAATCCCAAGTTGGTTAACAGCACAAACAAACTGCTGATGAAGTTCCACTGACCAAACCACACGCGGCTTCTTTGCAGCAGCTGTGTCATCATTTTCCATTTCAGGATCATCATCTTCTTTAGACTCTCTTTTCTTTTTTGCAGACTTCAATACTCCATCAGCTCTTTCAATGATGGGTGAAGCATATTCAGCATCATCAGTTCCCTCTTTAGCTCGATCATTATCTTCAAAACTGCTAGAATGGTCATTTTCTTTATTTAGATTACACTTCTTCCTAACAACATGTTGCCAGATATTTGTCAGCTCCTCATGACGTATAGGCTTAATAAGATAATCACAAGCCCCATGTTGAACTCCTCTCATTACAAGATTAGTTCTTTCATCTGCCGACATCACTGCAAAAACATTAAAAGGGTACGGTATCAATTCCAACAAAGATTTCATGCATTCAAGGCAGAGAAATAATCACTCACTGATCACAGGAAGGTCCATTTCAAGCCCAACATGCTCAAGGAGTTTGAAACCGTCCATATCAGGCATATGAACATCACTTAGTACAATATCAAAACAGCCTCTTCTTTCCCGCAATAAGCTTAGTGCAGCAGTTGCTTGGGAACAAATGGTCACTGCGATCACATGCGACATGGATTAATATGCATGCAATGTCAAGGATAATGCATAAAAAAGTACAATGGACATGTTCTCTCTATCTCCTTTGTTTGGTTCGAACATTTTGGTTGGACAAAAATCTTTATACATACCCAAGCTTTATCTATACACTTACATGGTTTGGGAAGATAAGTAGATATGCGTAATGGGGAGGTAATGAGGAGAAGTACATATGCTCCAAGGATGAGGTGTGAGAGGCTAGTGGATGTGGTAGGGGGCATTAGGAGGGGAAGAGGTAGACCTAAGAAGAGTTGGAACAAGGTGGTTAGGCAGAACCGATAACTTCGAGGTCTCACCCAGGATATGACCTTAGATAACAACATATGGAGGTCTAGGATGGTGGTGGTATGATAGACCTTTGGGCTTTAGTTCAAAGTATTTATGTTTGAATGCTTTTGTGCCTTAGTTTACACTTTAGTGTCTGCAAGTGAGTTTGTTTTTATTTGTTTGTTGTCTTACTTCGTTCGTGTCACTTTCCATTGGCATTGTGATGATCATGTGTTTTGAGTCGGGGTCTCCTGGAAACCTTTCTATTTCTTGAGTAGAGGTAAAGTCTGCGTACACACACCCTCCTTAGACCCCAGTCTATTTACTACACACCCTCCTCAATTTACTACACACCCTCCTCAGACCCCACTCTACGAGAATGCATTTGGTTTGTTGTTGTTGTTTTACATACACTAGCAAGCAAAAATAAAACTCAATCAACAATTTATTACTTACTTTGTCCCAAACTATTGCTTTAGTATTTAAAAGGCAAACTATATCGTCTTTCCTTAAATATTTATACTGATCATTTTATAAAATAAAATAGTCAAGACGCCTCTTCAGTAAAACCTGTGATATAGTTTTTAGATACTTCCTCCGTCCCAATTCTCTTTTCACTTTTCTTCTTGCCTTGTACAATGGAAACGAGTGCCAAGTTCACATTTTACCAAACATCCCACTGTGAATGTCAGTAACTGTCTGCAAAATTATCAGCTAGGAGGATGGTTATGAAAGGCACTCGCCTTGCTCACTACAGACGCCCAGGGAAAAAGGCGACCCTGCGTTGCCTGAACTTCCCCGGGCAAAGTGAGATACAACAGAAAGAGAGGCACTTGCTTTGGTTGCCTAAATTTGGGGCTAGAGGGGCTCGTTTAGTTGCCTTGCTCATATGTCTTGGGAGTGTTCAAGCACTTGCTTTGGTTGCCCATGGGCTGACTTGAATACAATATGACTGGACTTTTTAACTATAAATCTTGGTTTTTACAGGAACCAGCATGCCTAGGCACATGTAATCAATAAAACTCATTTACGTACAGAGTATTTCCAAGTTTCAGTTACGCACATGTACCCTATCGAAGTATTTTTGAAAAGTTAGTAATTACTTCCCACATTCTTTTTAATTGTCCAGTTCACTTTTCGTGCCAAAAGTTTGACTAACTATATATAAAAATGTATAACGAATAAAAATATAAAATCTACACCATAATAATTGTATCAAAAATAGTTTTTATATATCTTTTTAAATAATTTTTTACTAATATATTTTAAGAGATACTGTTAGTCAAACATTCAGCACAAAAAAACAAAATGGACAATTAAAATGAATGGAAGGAGTACTACATAACAAAACAAAATACATAGGGGCTGGGACAAGGTTCAAATAAAGGAGCAGAAGAAGAGGAGGAGGAGAAGAAGAATATATATCTTTTTATTAATCTTTTACTAATATATTTTAAGAGATATTGTTCCTCAAACATTCAGCACGAAAAACAAAATGGAGAATTAAAAAGAATGGAGGGAGTACTACATGACAAAAAAATACCAGAGGGCTGGGACAAGGTTCAAATAGAGAAGGAGGAGGAGGAGGAGGGGGAGGAGAAGAAGAAGAAGAAGAAGAAGAAGAAGATGATGATGATGATGAATACCTGGAAGGAGAGAGGAGAAGACTCCGTGAAGAAGGGACATGTAGGTTTTTTACAATCACAACGCGAAGGTGTAAGTAACGAGATGCAAGTCATGCAACCCTAACCAGCCAGAACGTGTGTGTGTTTTTCTTATTAAAACAGCTAAACATCTTCAAGGCGCAGGAGTGCCTTGCGACTGATAGAAACTTCTCAGAGGCGGAATGAAGCCTGTGTCTTCTGGAAATTGGTGTGCATCTTGAGGAAAAATCTTGAGTGCCTCACTGCGCCTCGTGCCTAGGCGCGCTTTATTATACCAAGCAAGAAATTACCACTAAAAAGGGCTTAAACCACTATTCCGCCATATAAAAGACAACAAGAATAGATGCAAGTCATGTAACAAAATAACAACAGAAGCTGTAAAAACACTGAACCATTAGCTACCCGTGACAACCCCAACGCTGGCAACCGGCCAATGCGGGTCAGTTTGAATTGAGTGAGAAAGAATAGGGATCAGATAATGGAATTAATGATTAATTTAAATTGACTACTTAGCATTAATGTTTAGCTTTCATGCTTATTTTACCATTTATAATATGCTTTTGAAATTAAGGAATAAATTAACTGCACTACATAGGTTTTTTATGTTTTTAAATATGTTGTACGGTTTGCCGTTTGTTGACAATCTCTCAACTCGCCTCTGGCCTTTCATAATTATAGATTGGCATAATGGTAACAGTGCATGTCTACAATAGGAATATAAATATCATGGAGAATTAATTATAAAAAAAAGAGATAAGCATAACACTTCCACAAATGCAAAGAGAGCCACAAAAGGATGAGCAGAACCTTGAAACAAAATTATTATGAGCAGGAAATGATTAGATCATCATGAATTCAATTTATGAATCAATGAAAATTCTCAAATCAATTTTATAAACGCCATTTTATACTTACCAACCATATGATTCCATGGACGATTGAGAAAAACAGTCCAAAAGGTGACCTTTCTTATCCCCTAAGGCAATCTTTACTCTCAAGATGATTAGCACAGAAACAACAACAACCCAGTTGAATCCCACTACAGTAGGGTCTGGGGATGATTAGCACAGAAAAAGAAACAAAATTCTCCAAGCTCAATTATAGATCAAGTAATTGAAATCATCTCAGGATGCCACAAGAATATATTCCATATAAACCTATAAACCTCAAAAATTACTAAGCAAAAAAGTTAGCTGATCAAATAAGCTGCTATGAAACAAGAACAGACCATTATAACTGCACTTGCGAAGCATCTGCTCGATAATTTTGAGCCAAACAATATCATCATCAACCACCAGCACCCTCAGCCCGACCGGGAAATGCTCCGGCACAGCAACAACAGCATCAGCTTTGCCTGCGGCAGCCATCCCAAAACTGCAACCCTATCCAGAAATACCAAACAATTACTCTGTTTACAACACCCCAGCGAAACTGGAAACTTCGAGCATCCGTCAGAGCCTGAAGCCTGAAACTTGAGGACGAACCACTACGCCATTGATGAATTTCACGATTTCGATGGAACAGGAGAGAGGAACGACCGCGATCAACAAGCTAATTGAGGTATTAAGAGGTTGAAAAGGCAATCAGGAAGGGAAAATGTGGAATTTTAGAGAAACACTTTAGGGTTCCATATTGCAATGATTGAGAAATGAGGGGATTGCTGACATGAAGACTAAAACAAAAAAAAAGTGGAGGCTTTGAGCCGGCAGGGCTTGGGGACCAAAACGAGATAGAAAAACACCGAGCGTTCGACATAAGGATGCTATAATTATCCCGGTCACCCTTCTAGAGACAATTGTCAAATACAGTACATGAAGTTGACATTTATGGGATTTATCTGAGCAGTGGTACCTTAATTATTAAAGAATTTCTCATTTTGGGACATATACTGTTTATACATATACTTCAACTCGTATGGGTAAAATACGTGAAGTTATTAAAATCTTTCGACTAAAATTTTTTAGTGGATACAAGGTTAAATGCAGGGTCATTTTTACCATATTTGCATCTTTTTCTCACTCTTTTTTTACTTGTCTACATCATCTTTTCTTCTATCTTCTTCCTCTTTCTTGGTTTTACTACTTCTTTAATTTCTTTGTTCTTCTTTCTTTTTTCATCTTCTTGTTCTCCATCACAATAACACTAATAATAAACAAGAAATGATAAAATTAATAAAATAATAATAATTACTAGTAATAATATTTTTCAATAGTCTTTACAAAGACTTTGTGTGGGACTAGTGCGCACATTTGGTTACGAATTACGATTGTTTTTTTAAGAAAGAAGGAAAAAGTAAAAGCAATCGATGTCATCATCACTGCCGGCAGTCCCCCAAAAGAAATATGAACATATTCCTGATAGACCAATAACCAACCAACTTGCTGCAGTCAGGGAATCACTGGATCAAACCGGCTGACGCATTCTAAACCACCGCTTTGACTCCCTTAATCCGTCTTGTGTACGTGCATCTGACTCAATTACCCTTACTGCTAAATACTTTATGATTTAAATTGCCTATTTGTGAATGGTGTTATTCACAACACTTATCGTGATGCATGCTATGTTATGGGAATACTAGATGATAATAGGGAGTACATCAATGGTTTCAAAGAAGGAAGTCAGTGGTGTTCTGCCAAAGAAAAACTGCACCTTGAATGAGATTGAGATGTTGCTTTGAATGCATGCCAAGAGTCTTCGAGACGTCATTGATATGTATTTTCCTATTCGAGACGTTGGGTCAACCACTCGCAACATATTGATTCTTGATGAACTACCATATGACTGCCTTGCATTGAAAGCTGAACACCAAAAATAAGACATCATTTTATTCGTGATCATGTTGCAAAAGGTGATATTCAAATTGAGTATGTAAATACGCTTGAACAACGTGCTGATATTTTTACAAAACCCTTGGATGAAAAACAATTTATACATATTTGTCAAGAAATGGGAATGCTTGAATTAAAATAATTTAAAGGTTCCCTGTATACTCATAATCTATTTTGTTAATTAAATTGATCATGGCATATTGTTCAAAGTCCACGGAAAGAGGCGAAGATCGAAAATGTGAAGGAGACGGTATCTGTGACGGTACACGATAGCACCTACCATTGGAAACGACAGTATGTACCGACCGAAAAGAGGACGCTCATGTATTTAAAGTGTCATATGGAACCCTATACCGCTAGACATCCTCATGTACCGACCACAACAACATAAGCACAGCCTTTTCACTCTTCTTCCGGTACAGCCTACCGCTACTCACTTGCATATACCGGCCGACAACGCAGAAGCTCAGAAGTTCTAACCTTATTACGGTACAGCCTACCACTACAAACTTGGAGGTACTGACAGCAACTACCAACGTACAGCTCTTTATCTCTTGTCACGGTACGCACTACCGTTACCGGTTAGTAGGTATGGACCGGCTCTTTGCTGAATAAAAACCTACCTTCTCATTATCCGGTCGCCACTTCCAAGCCGTCTCTTCTGTCTCTCCCGTCTGCGTCTTCGAGCCGAATGCCAAAACAAGGTATCTCTCTTCCATTTTTTTTCTTCAATTTCTTCAATTTTCTTTACAATTTCCCTCAATTCTCCCTCCATGCTCCCAAAGATTCAATCTTCCCAAACCGAATCATGTCGGAGATGGAAATTGTACCTATCGAAAACCCTAACCCCCAAATCATCCTCAATTCTTACACACACGCTAACGTCATTGAGGGACGTGTTCTTAAGCGTGAAGACATCCCGGATGACGTCTTTGCTCTCATTGACGAGCAAGGTTAGACCGAATTTCTAAAACTTAAAGCACCGGTCTACCCGGACTTGGTGTTCGAGTTCTATGACTCCCTCGAATTTTCAAGAAAATCAAAGGTCATCTCGGCAAAAGTTATGGGTGTTGATAGAGGCTTCTCCGTTAACAACATTGCCAATTGGTTCAACCTCCCTCTTGAAGGCCTTGCCACCTACACTTCAAGAAGGGATGGATGGCCGAGTCCGACTCCTTTTTTTCCAAGAGTGCCTCCAACTTTTAAACAACTTTCCCGAAGTTGGGGAAGCCACCCTACGCCGTCCGGAAGTCCAAGGCTTAACGGCAAATAACTTCATTCTTTTAAAAATCCTCCGAGAAAATATTGTTCTGGTCCTCAATAAAGACAAACTCATTGGCATGTTGGAATGCACTCTCCTCTACTATCTTCTCACTCACCGCCGTATAAGTCTTCCACATTTCATCAATCAACACATTTTCGAATCATTGGGAAACCTCAATCGCCCATATGACATGCTTCTCACACACATTTTTGCCAAACATGACATTCTTGAATAAGCCCTTCACGGGTTCGATATCTTGATGCTGAATGCCTTGACTATTCTAGCCTTGTGAATATGGGAGCAACTTACTACATGAAGTGTAAGTTTGAGCACCTAGACGATGCCACATGCACCCATTTTGGACCTCGTCGCTCTACATCCTCCATATCACGCCACGGGTCAAGCTCCGCAAATCCTCAAGGGGACGAGAATGAACCGGCAAATAAATGATCAACCATCTACCCGGATCAAACGTTCAAGGACAACAGGTCGAGGTACCTCCTCCTCCTAAGACACATCGGAGAACTCCGCTATCCAAGAGTCATTCAAGAAGCTTAAGGACTTCACCAGAAAGAAGGTGGTAGATCCCCTCAAAAGATTGCATGAACGGATGGATAACTATAATGCGCGTCTAACTAGGTTAGAGGAAGTTGAAAACAGGACCAAAGCCAAAAGTGCTCGTGTCTCTACCCGTGGAAAGCAAACTTTGGGCAAAAGCAAAAAATGATCAAACATTTTAAAATTTTTTGTGAAGAATTTTTATGGGAAACTCAGTTTTTTTATATGCCTTGAAATCATATTTGTTGGATGTTGTTGAAATCCTGTTTGTTGAATGTTGACGTTGGTAATCATGCTTTGAAACATCTCAGCCATGATTGTTTGATGAAAATATTGCTTAATTCCTTGTTTCATTATTCAATTCGGTTAAGCATTACATGTGACTTTCATACTTGAATGCCTTCCCTGTCTTTTTAGTTGTTGCCAAAAGGGGGAGAAGTAGTTAGGCTTTCTAAAATGCATATTCTCAAGGGAAACTTTTTCTTTTAAAATTACCTTAATGCATGAACTCAGGGGGAGCTTTTCAAAATTGGTTTCAATTCAACATACTTGTGACACACTTGTGAATAATTGCGCAAATGTTTACATTATTTGAAAGCCTTATTTGTCAACATAAAAAAGGGGGAGATTGTTGGCCCTGAATGCCGAAGTTCACCACGTTTTGATGTGCCAAATAAGTCTTCAAAGTACTAACCATTTACAGGTCAAAACGAGACACCCAAACCTCTCCTAACTTGGTTGATTTCACTAAGAAATGATTCATTCGAGTTTAGATATGAAAATGTAACAGATTGATAAATTAATGTTACACTTATGCCCTTGCACTTAAAAATGTTTTCCAAAAATTTCTAAACATTGCTTTGATTGGGTCATTTTTCAAATTTGGGAATAAAATCAATTTTGGACCAGATGGTACCCTATACCGTGCTAATGGTACCTAGCTACCCTTAGGCTACTCGGTACAGTAGGTAGGTACCTCCTGGCTAAAACTGACTATAGTATCAAAGGATTCAAATGGCACCCCCTCCCGCTTTCAGGGACCTACTAATCGTTATAATCTAGCTCAGCTAGGGCTGTGCATTGGTCCAAACCTGGACCGACCCAGACATACCGGGACCGAATAAGAGCGAAGTAGTGGACCGTATACCAGACCGACGTAGTGTAAGACCAGACCGAATATAATTGGACCGGACCGAATATAATTGGACCGGTCCGGACCGGTCCAAAAAAGGACTGAATAAGGGGGTACGCTCCATTACTCCAATGCTCCAAACAATATACTCCAATGTTCGAAAAAAAATCCCAAAATCAATAGTCAATACAAACAACTACACTCAAATATGAAATATGCAATCATAATTCATAAGTCTTAACATAAAGGAAATATGAATTCATGTATCAGTTAAAATTCCACACCAACTCCAATAGATAACGCAAAAACCACAAATGTATATTGTAAAATATTTATAATATAATTAATGAAATCTTGATCTTGAACCAAAGTTCAAACTCCCGAATTCCAATAGTCTTGAGCCCTTGAATATATTTATATTTAGCAATGAATTCATAGAATTCTAGAAATAAATGTAAACAACAAAAAAAACTACAAAGTAATATGGAATCAAGTTTTAATCTTACCCTCTACCGCACAAGAGTTTTAAAATGGAATCAAGCCTTAAAATATTCGCGGTATTCACAACACAATCATCAACACTCAAGTTTGCCATATATAGTAAAACAAATATCCAAGTGGTTTTGGTAAAAAGGACAAAAACAAATATCCAAGTGAGTTTGCCATAAGCTTTAGCCAAATAAATGCATTTGGTAAATAAAAACAATATGCTAAATTACTAACTCTTACCTTTTTCAACTGATTTTAACTCATCGATTGTTTCTTCTATGTCAATCTTCTTAGATGTCTTTAGCCAATCTAGAGAACATATCAAAGCTTGTATTGTCTTTAAAAAAAGTCAAAAAAATAAAAAACAAGAGAAAGCTTAAGTAGTTAAGGTAAAAAGTTGACCTTTGGAGTTAAAGATGTTCGGAATGCATCAAGATGATGTCCTCCTATACTAAATGCAGATTCTGATGCTATGGTAGAAACAGGCATGACCAAAATATCACATGCCATACGAGAAAGCACAGGATATCGATGATCGTGAACACGCCACCAACCTAACAAATTATCCACCACTTCTGAATCTTCTTCAAGTCCCTCATTTAAATATTTTTGCAGCTCTGTTCCTCTTGCTCTTTGTGTCCCTTTTAACCTTTTCTGTAACTGTGGAGCATATGTTTGACCCGACATAGATGTAGCATTTTCCAATTCACAAAGAATCACACTACTTTGTCCACTTTGAGCTTGAGATGGCTTATAAAGTTGCCAATACTCATCAAATAGTGTATCAACACTCTCCTTCACTTTTTCCATTATATTATCACCACTTGTTTCCCCAAATAAGTCACACACACATATTTCTAAAACCTCCGACTTATATCTAATATCAAAATTAGGAGCAATATACACCAAGGTGTTCAACTTCTCTAGCCTCCCATAATATTTTTCAAATTTCAACTTCATACGGTAAGTCATTTCTTTGAAGTTTTTCACCATAACTTAATCTTCTTCACCATGTACACCAATCTCTATATCTTGAACATCAATCACCTCATCAATATTTTCAAGATTTTGCAACATCTTATATATAGCCACAATCTCAAAAAAGAGCAAGTTAGATGTCACATAAGTACCAGACAAATGTTTAGTAGCATCGTAGAAAGCCTCCAAAAAAATCATCAAATTTTTAGCTTGAACACAATCTTTAGCATTAGGATGTCTATCTACTTTATCTACTTTATCCTTTGAGAAATCAATAACAAAGTAGGGATCAATCTTGGCATACTTCAGAAAAGCATTTTCGTACTTCTGTGCAACATTGAGCATTTTATAAGTAGAGTTCCATCGTGTGGGAGTATTTAGACATAAAGATGCTTTACACTCAATTTTTTCAGCAAGTACACATTCAAAAAATCTTGTCTCCCTACTTGGTGATTGTCTTATAAACTTTACCGCAGCTCGAATGCGATTCACTGACTTCCCCACTACTTTCAAACCATCCCACACCACCAAATTAAGAATATGTGCAACACATCTAACATGCAAAAAATTTCCATTTGAGAAGAGATGATGTTGAGTTCTTTTGAAATCTTCAACAAGAGCAGTGCACGCAGTACTATTGCTCCCAGTATTATCAACAGTAACAGTAAATAATTTATCCAACAAGCCCCAATCATCCAAACACATTGTAAGTGCAAGATCAATAGCATCACCTTTATGGCTAGAAATTGTACGAAAATTAGTAATTCTTTTTTGCAATTTCTAATCATTATCAACAAAATTCGTAGTCACACACATATAATTTAACCTCTGTAGAGAAGTTTATGTACCAGTGGTCACGCAAACTCTTTGGCATGCATTCACAAGATAATCTTTCAATAAAAATCTTTCATTTACATACAATTGATAAACATCTCGTGCAATAGTTGTACGTAGGGGTGCATACAAATCAAATAAAATATATTCGATTCGTGATTCGTATTCGAAAATGATGATTCGTATTCGCTATATTCGAATTCGAATCCGAATACGAATCGTATTTTAGATTCGAATTATATTCGAATCCGAATACAAATATTAATAGATTCGATTCGTTTATTATTCAAATTATTCGAATATTATAATTAATAAATAAATTTATATATATTCTAATATATTAAATATTTGTGTACATATGTTAACATATTTTAATATATTAAATTTTTGTGTACATATAAATTTATATAACATATTTTTACTACATTTTACATTTTATAAAATAATAATTTAATGTCTTTAAGAAATCTATTTTAATAAAAAAATTTCTAATATTTTCGAATTCGAGTATTCGAATACGAATTCAAATACGTCAAATATCTATCGAATCGAATACGAATATTTTTTAAAATTCGAATTATATACGAATCCGAATTTGAATACATATTACTTTAATCGAATACAAATCGAATAGTGATATATTTGCTTCGATTCGATTCATATACACCCCTAGTTGTACGTGAAGGCACTTTAGGTCCGGGAGCCAGAACAGACAACATTTACTTAAACTCGGCCTTTTCAACATGTTGAAAAGGCAACTCATCAATTACAATGTGTTTTACTATGGCTAATCTAGCCTCATGAGGGTCTAAAATCTAACTCTTTAATCTAGCTTCTCCCTCATTATTTTAGTCTCTTTCTAAAACCAATTGTGTTTGAACTTCTTTGGATTTATTGTTAGGATTTTCAAGACACTTGGGGATGTGATTATTTAAATTTTTGGTGCCATTCTTATTAGAGTCGGCCTTATACACTTTACCACAATATTTGCATTCATCTGTAACTCGTTTGCCATTTTCTTTAATTTCCTTGAAGTGCTTCCAACATCTGGATCTCGGTTTGTACTTTATCACCACTTGTTTACTTGTTCTGCTTGGTTCATATGTCATCTGCGCATCTTCATTTAATGGTCTAGTCACATCGTCCTCACTTGTCATTTCTATATTTGTGCCAACATTTTCTCCAGTGCTTGACAGATGTGGTCTTTTGGAATGAGAGCTAGATATCTGTGTTAAACATAATAAATATAACCATTATTCATCACTATGACCTAAGATGTTAATGTGAGGTTATTACTCCCTACTAAAATAACAGCATACAAATGGTTTGTTGTTTCACTATTAAATACAAACATTGATTGGAAACTTTATAAGAGAGAATAGCAATCAATTGTTTACTATGCAACTACTTCCAAATAAATAAATAAAATTACAAATGGTGCAATCAATTATTTACTATGCAAATATTAGCTTTGAAAGGTAAAAAAGCCACTATAAATTTTTTTAGAAGGCTTTGAAAGACTTAGTTTTTTTAATCATCACTAATTTTGACTTATAAAATTTAAAGAAATCATAAATTCAATATCAATAATGTTAAAAAAAACATGTAAAAAAATGTTTGGATGGAGTGGACGACTGCTGCGATTGGACGACTAGACGGAGTGCGTACCTGCGGGACTGGTGGACGACTAGACGGAGTGCTGCGATTAAACGACTGCTGACTGTGCTGAGTGCTGAGAGCCCTGCGATTTGTCAGAGACTCGGAGCATTCGACGGAATCGGAGTGCTGCGTGAGGGCGTGACCTGCGATGTCCTGCGTGTCCTTTGACATTTCTTCGGCGACTGCAAGTTGAGAACCCCCAATTCTGTGGATTTGCTACTGTAAATGTGGAATACTCGACTGGACTAAGGTGGATTATTTGGGGTAATGGGTATTGTCATACTTAAGCCCTAAAGCCCATATACTAAATAACTTAAGTAAAATATAAGCCCATATAAATGATATAACCGGTCCACCAGTCTCACCGGGTTTGGACCGGACTGGACGAGAACCTGGATAAAGGAAATTGATGGACCGGAGACCGGACCGAATTAGGACCGGTCCGGTCTTGTTTTGGCTAGTCTTCGGGTCAGTCCGGGTTTGCACCGAATAATGCACAGCCCTAAGCTCAACCCAAATTGAACTATGGCGGTACCCCCTACCAGAACCCTACCGACCGTAAGGTTATAAGATTAGCCCAAACTCCATTGTGGCGGTACCCTATACCATCTTAATGGTACCGTGGTACCGCCTGAAGCTTAAAAAATTCAAATTTGAACTTTCAAACGGGACATCTCAAGGGACCCTATACCGTCAGTAATGGTACCCCCTACCGTGACGGTTCCTAACTACCGTTACAGGTACCGGATCCGTTGGGTTACTGTTTCTAATTGATTTAGTTAATCCCAATCAACCTAAATTGTCTCCCAACGTTTCCTTAATAGTTCAAAACTATTTTAAACTTCCTAAACACTATACATACCCCTCCCAAGCCTCTCCTAAACAAACAACAACACTAGCTCCTTAACATACATTACATTCTATAAGCTCATTCTTGAACATTTAAGTGTTTTAAGCTTTAAAGTTCCAAATTTTTCTATTGTTTTTTATTTAAAGCTTTGATCCTTACATTTTTAACACTCACACACCAAGGGTTTTGTGTTTAATCCTTCTATCTTGCTCATAGGCAATTGTTGTTGTTTTTATAATTTGTTCTTCTTCTACCCAATCATATTATATATTATTTTAGTAGAGAAGCAACAAACACTTTTCGTTGTTTTGTAAAAGGTGTGGATAGCCTTTAAATCCTCATTGTAAGGTTGAAGATAGCCTCTAAATCTTCGGTTGTAAACGGTTGAGATAGCCGGTATAAAATCCCATTTGCTTACCTCGTTTGAGTCTTCTTAGTGAAGCCAAACAAGTTAGTGGAGGTCAAATCCTTGAGGAGGAGCCTCTACGTACTGGAGTAGAGAGTTCCCGAACCAGTATAAAATCGATTATATTGTACTTTCCTCTTTTATACTTTTCTTGCTCTTTTTCCGCTACTACTTTGTGCCTAAGTTTTTGTTTTTACGAAAAACTTTCAAACACCCTAATTCACCCCCCTCTTAGGGTATAAACCGACTTTCAATATACACGCACATACACACACATACACACACACAGATATATATATATATATATATATATATATATATATATATATATATATATATATATATATATATATATATGTATGTATATATATGGAGTCATAGCATGGATCCTATGGAAATCCCATAACCAATCCTTCTATGTATCTTCCACCCCTTCCCTTCATGATATGGAAAAGATGATACGAAACCTAGTCCAGAAATGGTGCTGGACCCACAGGAATAAGCAATGGATGATGAAGACTAGTGACCATACTCAAATGGGCAAGGGCTATTTTTGGCTTAGTGGAAAGAGACTTATAGAAGGACTTGTTTGACTTTGGTCTTTGTTTTCCTGTTTTCTTTTTGCTTTTGGGGAATTCATCTCCAAACGCGTTGTAATTCTCTCCTTTTCTTTACCTTGAATACAAGCACATTTCCATTAATATATATATATATATATACATACATATATATATATATAGATACACACACACACACACAAACATATATATATATACACACACACTCCCTCCGTCCTAGAGTATTTGTCCACTTTCATTTTTACACACCATCCAATACACTTCTTTAATCCATTTTATCTTGTAATTTGTATATTAAAAAATTATAGAAATTATATATTAATAATCTATATGTTAAGACAAATCAAACAAGATCACACATGACTATACTTAGACTTACACATTGGAAGAATTTGATGAGTCAAATTGCTTAAATGAACAGTTCCAAAAGTCAAAAGTGGACAAATATAGCAGAACGGAGGTAGTATATATATATATATATATATATATATATATATATATATAATATTAATGTTATATTTTGTTCCTTAAATAATATTTGACAAACTTAATTATCATATAACTAAAATGTTTAAATATAAATATTTATTTGTATATATGTTTGTGTATCTAATCATAGTCATACAGTATAAGATACACAATATATATAAAACACAACTTTACTCAACTTCAATATTCTACACTTTTCATATGTTCTATGTGTGTGACCCTATTCTAGGTATCTATAACATTGGGCACACTATCAATTAAATACTACAAGTGATAAGCGGTGATCAACAACACATTATCATCACCTAGTTATAGATATAAAGCTCTTGGAACAATTCCTACAACGACACATCTCATTTGTATAACTCTTATCGCTTTATCACTAAATCTTGATCCAACACAAGTTATAGGGTGGGTCACCTTGTTATAGTTAAATCGATGGTTTACTCATTCTTCTATTGACTTGTGGAATTCAAACAACATATTTATTTGGGCATGACTATGCACTTCCCAAGTCACATCAACCAGTGAGCCTTAAGATATTACACTTCAATAAAGAAGGAATAATTCTATCTACGTCATTCACATCTTCACTTAAGTTTCTTTGCATATCCAAAACATAATTGTACATTCACCAATATTTCAGATGACATAAATCATGCTTCAAAGTATGTAACTTAACTTACCAAAGATCGTAATGATTTCAAGTCGAAGGATAGTTATAGTTATGGTCGAATGAGAAAAATATTAACACTTTAACTTAAATTCATACATTATTCTCATAGCGGGTCAATCCAGCAATATATCCAATATGTTTGCCTATGTATAGATTAACACTTTATCTATGGACTAATAGATGCAATTATCTCATCTCATACGTATTAGTCTTGATATATTATGATGTTCGTATTATCATAATATTCGACCAAGGATATTTTAGACGTAGTCTCTATCTTTGTAACAGCCTCATAATCAAAATGTTGTAGTTCTCATCTATGTTATTAGAGCGCCTACTCTATGGACTAAAGCTATGTTTAAATCACACGGGACGACTTTAAATATATGAAATCATAAGTTGGCCTCTAGTGCTCAGTTATATTCAACACCTTCATCATGAACGACTCATTAGTATCCATGACATTGGACCCACTTTTCATGTCATCTTTGAAATGTGGTTTATTGCTTCATCCCTGAGATCCAATTGAATTGGCCATAATAGGACCAATGTGTGCGGCTGTGTCATCCATCATCTGGACAATTGTGTTTCCAGCCTTAAGGACAAGACTTAGTGGAGAAAGCAGAGGGCTGATGAGTTTTCTAATCGTGTTCATCATGTTTGTTCTGAAAATGTATAACTCTACAGGAATCATGCTCGGCATAATTGGGAGGCCACGAACTAAATCCTGGATTGAGCAAGAAATTTGTACGTTGAACGCATATAAGTCAAAGTCATGATTTTATTGACTTTCAATATGACGAAACGACCAAAGCTTCGTTATAATTTCATCAACACAATCATCAATGGCACTCTAAAACTCTAATCCGTCCAGGTCTGTAGTCCCTTTCGGACTAAAGTATAAACTGGGTAATCGTAGAATTTAAAACATTTTAAACAAACTTTATTCATCGTAAATAATATTTCATACATAACCGTAGAAAAATACGAAGTGTTTAATAATAATGCGGAAGCGACTTTAAAGCATGTCTCATAAAAAACATAATTATTTATTTCATTCAATAATCCACCACAACTGTCTCGCTCCTTCCGCTTCCAGGAATACGCCAATCATTCATTCTGCCTACTTGTATGTAGCAAAAAACACACTACACGCTCAGTAGAGAAGCTGAGTAAGCATATCTAAAGCGTCAAACATCCACATAAATTGAATCTCAATTCATAATCGAACCATTTAATATCATGCACATAACGTTCAGTTCAAATATTCATTATTCAACATACATTCATCATTCACTATTTAACATTCAACATTCATCATTCAATATTTAATATTCAACATTCAACATTCAACATTCAAAATTTATTTTCAATATTCAACATTCGTATTCAATATTCAAAATTCAACATTTATTTTCAATATTCAACATTCGTATTCAATATTCAACATTCGTATTTAACAATATCCTTAAACAATTCTTAGTCTAGCTAAGGCCAATTCAATTCTTAAACTTATTCTAGTTTAAGATATTTTTAACTAACCTTTAAGCTAGGCCTAGTTTATGATATACATATTTCAAAAGTTTTTCAAATCTTAAACTTACCTTCGCTTAAGGTCAACCAAAAACCGACAGCGTAGCGTTCAATGTTGGGTTGAGTGGTACCCCCAATCGAGTAGGTACTCAAGTTTGGTTCTTGGATCCCGTACGTACGTTTTAACCCTGGCCACCGGGCATCATTCCTGCAAGGCCTAACTTAAATAGGTATATCTTAAAGTTCTTCTAGATAACCTTCAAAATCATCATCACTATGGGTATATCTTAGAGTTGTTCTAGATACCCTTAACAATACATTATCTTTGTGATTACCAATATATCCATTTTTAGTCATGGTTTGATCATCCGTAATCATTTTATATCCGTAAGTTAATCATTAATAATCATTCATCATTAACATAATTAACAAGTAGCAGCCTAGTGTCGAGTGTTAACACCCTAGCTTACCATCATGTCTCAAACAAGATTCTTGAATTAATAAAAACATCATATTCATTTCCAGAAATCATATTAAAATTGATTATAATTGATTGGTATCAAAAATAGATTTAACAGTTCAAAAATCAATTTTTCTAAATTTTTCTCTAGACTAAGGGCAATCCTATCGGTACCTCGGTACCGAGGTACTGCCCAAACTGTATGGGGTACCCTTTGGTATCAGGTATCGTGAGAGGGAGCCAAATTTGGAGGTGGAGACGGTAGCTACCCTACCGTTCCGACAGGAAGGCGTATCGTCCCGGCGGTACCAGGGTACCATCCAGACGGTAGCCAGCTACCGTTGTGCACGTAGTTTTGAACAGTATCATCTTCAACCTCGGGACCATATTTGGAAATACCATTTTTAGTCATCAAACTTCAATTAAACTATATAGAAATGTTATCCGAGGTTCATAGGTCATTTTGGTATACTTAGTTCATAGTTTTAACATCAAATTCGAGGTATATGATTTTTAGTTCTTCAAGCATGTCAAACACAAAACTCAACCAAATGATCATTTATGAACGTAGAAACGACCTGTATGAACATTCTAGTCATTAGATATACCTACGGGCTTACCTTGAAGCTAAACAATGATTCCGACGAAAAGACGGCAGAACTTCCGGCAACAAGAACTCTCAACTCCGGCGACTTCTCACCAAAATAACAGCACTAGCTAGTGTGTTCTCCTCACTCAGAGCATCATAATAAAAGAAAGTATTGTATAATTTGGTGAAGAATTGAGGAATATAGGTTTCTCTTATATAGTGGAAGGAGGAGGAAGAAGACACCAGTGAATTTCCGTGAATAGGCCTGTGCATTAACAAGTCCAGACCGAAATTTTTACCTGAACCGAATCGGAATGGACCGGTCCGGACTAGTCCGGAATTTTCAGGTTCAGTCTTCGGTCCTCCAAAATTTAGGATTCCGGGTTCCGGTCCGGTCCGGTCTAAACCCGGAATTATCCGGTCCGAAGCGGTATATAATAAAATATTAATTTTTTTAAATAAATAGTTAATTCATTAGACCATTATCCTTTCAAATTTCTTCTTTTTTCAGTTCTATTAGGCTCCTAGCATGATATGTTACTAAATTTCAATTTTCACCTTAAGTATTTTTTTTATTTAATCTCCTATATTATATAAATGTGAAAGTGGGTTTGGTACCCCTTAATAAGATGTTCTTTTTCCATCCAAAAAATAGGTACATTATGCTTTAAATCATGTACATTGTTTTTTAATACCAACCTTACCCATACACCGTTAGTTTTCTCCATCCACTTATATTCCCAATAAATGTCATTTAGTGCCATAGTCTTAGACACACACCAATTCTCACAAAAAGAAATCTAGCTCTTTAAACTTTTTCTTTCATTATCTAATTGTGAGATGACTATCTCGAATTAAGCTACTTATAACATCCTCTTTTTGAATTTAATCTTTTCACTTTGACTTTTTTTCATTTTTAAAAATATTTGAAAGAGAATAATTTTTAATAGATTTGTCCAAAATGTCCTTACAAAAATGTTTAAACATGAAAATTAGAAAGATTAATCTGGAAAATTCTCTAGAAAAATCTCTTATCACAAACACTATTTTCATCCCTACTCATTCGAAAAAATTCTTTTTCACTAAATCTAGAAAGGAGCTCAATTGTATGTAATTACGAATGATACAATCTTGATATTATAGTGGCATTCGTGATAAATAATCACTAAAAAAATCAAATATAAATATATAGAATCATGTGTGAGTTATGATTGCAAATGGAAAAGAGAATGCCACAAATGTACACTACAAGAATTTATCTGGTCTGCAACGAAAATCTGCTACGGACACATATCCGTAGCAGATCTGCAACGAATCTGCGACGGAGTAATAATTTTTGAAAAAGGAACACTATCTGCGACGGAACTTTTGTTTTTGTCGCAGATCTGATACGGAATAAAGTGAGGTAAACATTTCGTGTAATCTGCAACGGAATCTGCAACGGACTTATTTCAGTTGCAGATAATTAATTAAAATCCGGTTATCCTCTTTTAGATCTGTAGACGAAATCAGTTCACAGATCCAGACATCCAGACCCAGCCATCTTCCGTCCACCCAACTTCGACCGACACATCTCCTCCGCGGCTTTCCTAGACCGCCGGCCGCCGTCGCACGGTTTGTTGACGTCGTGGCGCTCGTCCTCCTTGCCTCGCCGTCGACCGCGCAGCCAGTGTCTCCCTCCTCGCCTCGCCTTCGACAGCCAGTGTCTCCCTCCCTCCCCGCCACCGCCGCCGCCAGTGTCTCCCTCCCTCCTCGCCGCCGCCGCCAGTGTCTCCACCCCTCGCCGCCGCCAGTGTCTCGACCGCCATCTTCCCCCACTTGACCTCCTCTTCCTCTCAAGGTATTTTAGTTTAATTTTATACAATTTATTATTTTTGTAATTTTTTGTGAAATTGAATTTGTTTGTGTGAAATTTAATGCATTTTTTATGAAATTTAGTTGAAATTGTGTGAATATGAGTTTAAATTGATATGAAATTGGGTAAAAATTGCATTAGTTTTTTTGTGAAATTGATAGCACTTAAGCTGTAATTTTTGTTGAAATTGTGTTAGTTAATTTGACGTTTATTGAGAATTTAAGTAAAATTTAGTTGAATTTTGTGATATATGTAGTTAAATGATTGTTGTTTGTGGTTTTATTAGAAAAGATACTTGAAATTGGTAACTCCTCCACAGCTTTTTCCCGTAGCAGAGTAAAGCTTTCGATTTTATGCTTTTTGTGTAAATGGTTCGCGGCGGTGAATAACTGCTGGGAAGTTGAGGAAGTTGTGTTAGTAGGATTTGGAGCTAGGCTTTGTAGATTCCACTGCATGTTTGATTGATTTGTATTGCGATGATGATGGCGGATGAGAGCGCTAAGCGTTTGTCTCCTGGCGGATTCCACTGCATATATGTATATATATATATATATATATATATATATATATATATATATATATATATATATATATATATATATATATATATATATATATATATATATATATATATATATATATATATATATATACTCCCTCCGTCTGGAAATATTCTTCCCATTTTCCTTTTTGGTCCGTCCGGAAATAATCTTCCCATTTCCTTTTTTAGTATGCTTTTTAAGGCTAAATATCAATAATACCCTTCTATTTTATCACAAATCTACTTTTTTAATACTTTTTTAATAATAAAAGGAGATTTAAAAATTTATAGTATGTGCATTTTTGAAAATTTTGCATTTTTTTCTACTATTCCTTAATAAGCGTGCCAAGTCAACACGGGAAGAACATTTCCGGACGGAGGGAGTATATATATATATATATATATATATATATATATATATATATATATATATATATATATATATATATATATATATATATATATATATATATATATATATCTGTGTGTGTGTGTGTACAATTTAGATATGATTTTTTTATAATGAAAAGTAGGTCATTTATGTTTAAATTCTAGTCCATACTAAGGTAAACCCGGACCAGACCGGAAAATTCAGGTTCGGACCGGTATCTAATAGGTCCGGTCTTCCGTCCTTGCAAATAGAGGATTCCGGTTCCAGTCCATTCCGGTTCCGGTTCGGTCCGGTTTTTAGACCGGTGCACACCCCTGTCCGTGAATCCTCAAAATTGGCTAGTACGCCGTTCGCACAGTAGCCGCCGATTGTTGCGTAGTTCCCTGATTGGGACTAATTTTTGTTCCCAGTCGGGGTACACTTTTTGGCCCAACATTCTTTGAATTAAAATCCGATTGAACCGTTGCGGTCAGATAATCAAACTCTACACAACGATTTAATTTTCATTATTTATTGTCAAACTTTATAACTCACTTATTTTTGGGTTCTTCTTAGTAATTACTACATAGTTTAATTTCGGGGCGTTATAGGCACACACTCCTTCATCAAATTCAATTTTTCCATTTAGAACATTCTCAAGCAAATCAAGAAGTTTGTCCAACGCATAATTTATCATAGTAATACGGGACTATCCAAGATCTGTGACTCGCGCATAAACAGCATCCAAAGAATTTGGGGTTGAGAAATAGCTTGACATAATAAATTTCCTCCAAAAATACCAATGCAAAGTAAAACCGGAGAAATCTGGTTTTTATCCTTACTTGGAGTGGGTCAAAGCTGAACAACGACAATAAATAGACTATGATGTTTATCCCTTTTTTTGTTTCAAGCTCTAAGAGATAATAGGATGGAGGGGGATTTGAATGAAATTTCAATCTTGGACCGACTTTTTTTTTTGGAGTTCAAGTGAATGAAATTCTGATCGGCAGTAGAAATTTTGCATGGGGCAGCAGCACAACTCGATTAGAACTTTGGCCGCTGTTGGTGATTTTAGTGTCATCGGTTTATTTTGTGTAATTGGATTTACTTTGATCGGACAAGAATTTAAATAGACGTTGTCAAACGAGTTAGGAGGTGCGAAATGCGCGCTCGTTGAACGATATTATAAATTTACTGCGGGGTCTGGGGGCGGCAGCCCCCGGGTAGCGGGGTCCAAGGGGCGGCGGCCCCTGGCGGGAACCAAGGGGCAGAGCCCCTAGCCGGGGTCCAAAGAGATTTTCGTGATTTCTTTATGAAAATCCTTAAGATTTTCGTGATCGGAGTCCAAATCATTAAAGCACTCGAACTAGTAGATTAACGTCAAAATATACTCTAAAACCGCAGGAGTCTCTTCGTTCAAACTCGCGCCTATCTTCTTCCCGCGCGAACGTACGCGTATGTCTACACGAAGGATCATGTCCGATCATGGAAATTTTCGACTCTATAAAATAGAGTCTCGTTGTATGGATTGGGGGACTGATTCTTGAGTGCTCGTTCATGATTAACGTCTTATCCGATTGAAGTATTTCGTATACCCCGAAATAACTTTGATCTGAAAGTGTTTCGTACGCGATTCGTTATACTATTGAGTTCTTCTTTAAACACTGCTTCACAATGTTCTTCATTAAACAATTCCAACAGTAGGTTGATCCGACCGCAACAAAAAAAACTTTTTTGGCGAGTTCAACAATGAAAGTACTAATTGATACGGTATCATATCAGGATAAGGTTGAGCACCTTCGAGCTATAAAACTGAGGAAAAGGAAGAGATTGAGAAGAGAGGGGGTAGATGGCCGCCGATCGGCGTGGAGGAGAGAGAACCGCAAATATTTGTCTAGGGGAAGAGAAGAACGAGAGAGAAAAGAAAGAGTTTAGGGTTAAGAGGGATTATTTCTTTATTGCTTGAATAATAACAACATGGTGGTGATACATTTATAGCTAGCATATTGAAGGAATCCTAATCACAAAAGGCAACTAAATAAACTAGAATATTAATAACCTAATACAGTAATGATACTCCATAATAATAAATAACTAACCATAAATACTAAAAATACCTATAATAATAATAAGCATGAATAAAAATTAAATAATAATAATAATACTAAATATACTAAACATAGTCCCGTAATATATTCCAAGTATTAAATAAATTAAATTGAAAATAACTTCATTCAAATATCTTAACGTGAAATTGGCAATTTAAACTAAAACGGAGGAAGTTTAATATTTACGATAACAATATGACAAAATGGAGAGGGGGCCAGGAGTTTGGCTAGTGTTTGGGACGGGACGGGGAGTGTTTTGAAGTTCAGAACCACTTTCAAATCCAATAAAGCACTTTAAGACATCGATATGATAATATGACATTGAGGTTCAATATCAAAATAACTGTTACTTTTTAAATAGTAATATTTGTTCTAAATAAGACCCAAACATAACTCATTTCCCTAAATAGGATTTCACAGTTTTAAATACATATATAAGACTTATTTAATTTATTAATTATTAAATAATACTTGTAATATTCTTTTACAAAACTACCCTTATACATAATTAATAATGTTAATAAAAAAACGCTCTCTCCCCTCTTCCAATTCCATGTGCCGCCACAACCACCACATTTCTCTTCTCCCTCCTTTTCTTCTTCCTTCTTCTTCTTTTCTTCTTTCTCTATTCCACAGCGACCCCCACCCCCCACCCCAACCCCCACCACACACTCGCACAGGCACCAACCACCGCTACTATGTTCCGCCATTAGTCATCACCATGATCGCCGCTGCACAAACATGCATGGCACATTTTTTAAAATTCCTTCTCTGATCTAGTTTTCTAACTTTGTTTTTTTATCTTTGAACTTCTCTTGGTAATTATTTACAAAGTTTCTCGAAAATTAATTCTTGAATTTTGACTATGGACATTAAACACTGCGGAGTATGAGTATTTTTCTTTTTAGTTGATAAAAAACATTAAATATAACCTCTCTTTCATAATTATTGTATTTTTTTTTCATTTTTACCACAAAGACATTAAAATACTATGGACGTTATGAAACAGTGAATAATGTATATACAAAGGACATCATAAGAGGTGACTAAAGACATTAATATTCCAAGGAAAATAGACAATAAAAAGCAATTGAAATACGATGGAGATTATTGTATTTTTCATGTATAAAAATATTTTAAGCTCAATGGAAAATGTCCATCCGGCAAAGGACTTAAAACCTGGGCAAAATAACCTAAGAGAGCATTTTGATACATTAATATTAATTACTAAATAATTATTAATTAACTCGGGGCGGTTCATGTGACATTATCCGCTAATGTGAGTTTCATTAATCATTGTTCGTTGTTTCACATAGTGAAACGAAATGAGTTGAACAAAGTTCAACGAATCACGAACTTCTCCCCTGGCTTGAGTGGTAGCAAGTCCACTCCCCAGGATTCATGGGGAAGTTCACCCAGGTTCGAGCCCCAGCGAAGGCAGCAGCATTGGCTCTTTGTGCGTCATTAGTTTGAGAATAGTATGAACAGATACTACCTTGTAATAGAGTCAATAGCATTCAAAAAAAAAAAAGTTCAACGAATCACTGTGGTACTTTACCTATTTGCTCTGCTGGGACCAACCCGGGGGCGCTACGGTGCCACGTCCGTAAAATTGGTTCATATCCCCCTAACCCCCACCCCGCCCTGACCCGAACACACTCCTCCATCCCCTTCAATTGCACTCAAAGTTAAATCAAAATTAACTTGGAATTCTCGCCCCCGGGTCATCCCATGACAGGGATTCTAATGTCATAGAAACCCTTCCGTAATAAATTGGATCCTATTTAGAGGGAAAAAAAACTCTTGTTTAGGAAAAATGACTGTTTTAGTCCTATTTGTGCAAATTACCCAATTTTGAAAAATTTTAATAATAGGGTTCTAAGTGTAAATTTCATTCATTTTAGCAACTTCAAATGGGGGTTTAGGTGTATCTCAAATTCTCTCCTTTACATTAAAATAAAAATGTATTGTTCACAAACGGACCAACTTTTAAATTTAGTGTACAATCTAAAACATTTGGCACTCGAACATTTCTTTCTTTATTCATGACAAGTAGATACAACTGCAGACACTGCAGAGATGATGATGATGACAATGACAACAATGACGGTGATGATGATGATGACGACGACAATGATGATGGTGATGATGATGATCCATGTTGCAACCCATCACACACTAAGCTTCGGCCTATAATCGGCATTGACGAATGAACTAGTGAACTCATCCAGACAAGCCATGCGGATCCGCTCTGGTGTGGCCGGATTATCCAAAGAAAACCAGCCATTGTAGCCTGCTTCTGCCCTTGCTGATGCAATGGCGTCTCTGATGGCAAAAAATACGGCTGAGGCGAGAAAGAATGGTGGCTCCCCTACCGCTTTTGAGGAGTGGATGGCCTTTGTATTTGGAGCATCCTGCCAACAACATTCATTTAAAAAAAAAAAGATGAATACTTCTTAGATACAAATGCCCAGTGTTCATGAGCTTCATAAAGAATTTGTTCGTTTTACTTAATTTTAGTTAGAGTCTGTGGTTTCTGGTTAAAATTACAACTAATTTTCAGTTCACCTCAAATTAATTCACTTGAAAAGAACAAAATCATAGTCATAATATATATCATCCATCATCTTTGATCAAAACCAGCAATAATGATGAACAGTGGTGCAATAGAATCTGCTAAAAAAACACATTCCAAAAACCCAAGTAGTGATATTTCATTAGCTAAAACACTTGCAATGTTATTGGTGGAATGTCTAGTCACCGCATAAATCTAGTACTTCGTACCCATGTTGGGCTAACGAGGAAACACAAGAAACAGGAAACAGCAAGTGCAATAAAGGGAAATGCAGTTTTGTAATGGAAAACTGTTGTCTCAATGGTTTTGAAGACGTGAAAAAGTTACAGCTTCAAATAGCCTATTTGAACCAGTAAATATGACAGGGAAAGAATATAAAGAGGAAATGAAGTTCACAATTTGACTTCACTCGGTTTCCAGCAAGACAATTTGCTGTGTTTATTTCCCAAATGTGGCTTTAAAGTAAAGATTGGTGAAGCCACAACTTAACTTTTGTGAAAGTGAAAACACTTTAGGGGTATTGTTGCTTTTTCCTAACTATAATCTTACCTAATATGGAAATGTGAACTTAATTTCCAGACATCATAAAGAGAAAAGTGACAACTTAGTTGGAGGAGATTAACATTCTATGCACCACATGTCAGTTCTGTACAAGTTGTATTTGCTTCATCAGATTGTTGATCACACGTATGATTACACACGCATAATGTTTCCAAATATGATGACTTACTTTCAAAAGCGAAACATTGAATTTGAAAGGGATATCATTGATGGAAGGTATTTTGTAGCTTCCGGGTCCACAGGTGAATAGGCATCCGGATGGAATCCATTTGTGGGCCGGATCCCCCCATTTGAGCTCTTCTAGGGCCACCCAGCCCAAACCTTGTATAAATGCTCCCTCTATCTGTGAGTGCAAACTACTAATTAGTATAGACTACTATGCAACATAAGTGTTTTTCATTTGGTAAGTTCACAAGTAATTCTAAATTCAATGTTAAGATCCAATGAGTAATTACAACTTCCAAAAGGGATTACATAGAAAGAACCTGTCCGACATCAATTGCAGGATTAAGAGAAAATCCAAGGTCCAAGAGAATATCTGCTCTGCTAGTGTGAAAATCTCCCGTTAATGCATCAATTTCAACTTCAGCAAATGCAGCCCCATAGGTGAAGTATCTGAAAGGGGTTCCTTGACCAGTTTTCCAGTCAAAGCCAATTTCAGGAGTAATGAAAAATCCATGAGCAGAGAGGTCTACTCTCTCTAGATAGCAAGCTGTCACACGCTGGTACATTGTCCGCAAAAATTATTATTGTGTATAATTTCTATGTTTGTAGTTTCAGATGAACAAAGAACACGTACTCTATAAGTTATTCGTGATTATATAAGTATTTATTAGTGGCCACATAAATCAAGATATCCAATATTTGAAAACTTTAAAGCAAAAAATACCTCCGCAAAAGAGTTGAAATTACGCTTTGATGTGATTGGCTCCATTCTTGCTTTTATTTGCTCGCATGCATCCAAAACAGCAGCTCCATACATATCAGAGCTTGCAGAAGCTGCTGTTGGTGATGCATTTGGAACCTGGATTGATGAAGAAAAATTGATGTGGGGGAACTGCATCAGCCATTATCAGCACACACAAAGCTATACCCTCAGAAAATATCAAAGTGATGTGCATCATGGTGAAATGCATTAAAAGAGGGATTGCAGCTTAGAGTGAAGTCCTCCAATTATAGGACTTATGGCCAAATAGTTAAATCAGTTCCAATTTATTATGTGTGAGCATATCTATGTTATTTCTGAATAGCGATGAAAGTTGATCCATAGTTTTCAAATGTGGGAAGACCAAAACTGCAACATAATTAGAAGCTATGACTAGTTATGGTAAATATGAACAAGTGAACAACTAAAAACAAAACCGCTGCTATTCATCCATAACATAGGAACTCAATGCATTTTCTACATAAACCCCTTGTTTGGTTCAAACCAGGGAATTGCCCATGTTTTCTTCAATAAAGGAATGAAGAGAATGTACTCCCTCCGTCCGTCCGTCCGGAAATGTTCTTCTCATTTGACTTTTTACGGTCTCCAAGATTACACTTTGACTACTAATATCTTTATTTATACATGGATATATTTTATAAAATTTGATATTTTAAAACTATATTTCAAAATGAATATATTCATATTAAAGTTATATCCTAATTCAATGTATTTTTTTCACATATCATAGTCAAAGTTTACAAACTTTGACCAAGAAAAGTCAAATGGGAAGAATATTTTCGGGCGGAGGGAGTATAAGAATATTATATTTGATGTATTACCTTCATCCCCCCCAAAAAAAAGAGTCATGCAAGACAAAGCACGACATTTAAATGTTGGTAAAGTTGTCATAATAATACTTTTTTAGATTTATTTGTTGGTTTAGCAAAATTAAATACTCCCTTCATCCCTTTTTATCCTCTCACTTTCCTTTTTTTGTTGTCCTTAAATAATGTTCTCACCTCCTTTCAAGTAAAGAAGTGTGTGGTTCAACCACAGTATTTTACCTTCTTAAATTCTATGCTTAAAGCAACCGAGAAAATTAAATAGGGACAGAAAATACTTTTTTCTGTGTGTGGAAAATCTCAGGCCCCACTCTATGGGAAGAAGTGTGTGGTTCAACCACAGTTTGTGACTCTGTTTTTATACTCCCTACATCCCTAAAATATTTTTTCATTCAGTTTACGAGGTTTGACTAAAAATATTTTCAATTCAATTTATTTTAATACAAGAACAACAACAACATTACCCCAATGCGGCAATGCCTCAAAGGCTCCCGCCAATTGTGGGGTAAGAGGGGTCGGATAAGAACCATTTTGCTTTATCCCATCTTACCCCGAAGCTAAATAAGAGTGAATACTTGGCCCCACCAGAGAAGATGGAAGTCAATTCAATTCATTTTAATATTGGTATAAAATTAAAAAATAGAATATAACAATTTAAAAACAATTTAAAAAGTTCTACTCCATATTAAACAAAAAGTGACTAGACTATTTTATTTTAACGAACGAGTAAAGAAAATAGGTAAGGAAATAAGAAACGATTTGACCATATAAAAAGTAAACAAGAATATCTTTAAGGGATAGGGGGAGTGATTGTTTAACAAATCATTAAATAAATAAGGAGTAACTTTTCATGATCAAATCAGAATTAAAAAGTGTATACTAAAAAGAGGGATGAAGATCATTTTGGGGCGCGGGGGTACAAAATTAGCACACAAGAATACCTTGTCTGTACTAGTATCAGATATAAAAACTGCACTGAGTGGAATGTCGAAGGAAGATGCAGCAATCTGAGCAACTTTTGTGTGCAAACCCTGCCCCATCTCCACACCTCCGTGAGTAACTAATACTGTTCCATCTGTGTAGACTTGAACAAGTGCACCTGCCTGTAATAGGTGAATATCATGTCTATCCTTTATATTTATTCATCTCTTACAATAGCTCTCAGACCCCACTCTAAAACAACAACAACAACATACCCCAATGCCTCAAAGGCTCCCGCCCATTGTGGGGAAGGGGGGGGGGGGGGGGGGGGGGGGGGGGGGGGGGGTCGGATGTAAGCAGCTTGGCCCCTATGCTTAAAACATTGAGTGGCTCCGCTGATTACCCATGATGAGTGTCAAAAGTTGCATTGACTAACTGCAACTTCCCTATAAAAGAAGAGTAGACTGTTTAAAGAGCCATTTTCATTTATTCCATCACACCCCAAAGCCAAAAAGTAGCAAATCTTTGGCTTCATCAGAGATGATGGAAAATCTCAGGCCCCACTCTATGGGATTTAATTGGGTATATTGTATTTACAATCTAAATCTTGTAGTGATCCATGAGTATGGCATCTTTCTTCATCTCGTCCCTGTATCTTGAGATTTTCCATGCAACTGAACTTGTATTAAGGCAATGATGATCTCCTGACATAACTATGATGACCCATTAATAAAGGGAAAGTTACCTGATTCATAAACTTTGTTGTGAAGGATATCCCGAATTTGGTTGGAACTAAGGCTATTCCACGCTTCTTCCACCGATTGTTGCGATTGAATTTTTCAACATCTTTGCAAGCATTAGCAAAGTCACATGATGACTTCAATTTATTCCAGAGACGTCCCAAAGTACAATGTTCAATCTTTTGACCATAATGTAAGATTGCTCCTTCTCTATGAAAATTCAACTCCTGGAAACAAAAACTAAAGGATAAGCATGCTTAACATTATTAAAAAAGAGATCAGAAATGAGAGGATCCCTCAACAAGAACACGACATCAAAGGAGTGGCATATCACACCCTAATTTCTTCAGGAGTTTTCTTAACCTCCACAGCAACTCTTCCAATCCAATTTTCAGTGATAAGCATTCCCTGTGGACCTCCAAAACCTCTAAAAGCCGTATTACTTGGAAAATTTGTGAAGCAAACTCTTCCATTAATTGTGATATTTGGTATCTCATAGACATTGTCTGAATGGAACATAGCCCGTTCAAGTATGGCTAATGACAGATCAAGTGAATTTCCAGCATTGTTGTAAAGTTCAAGATCTAATGCAAGCACCTTTCCATCATTCTTAAAACCTACCTACACAAATATTAATTTTTTATCAGAGAAAACATAATGGGTTGAAAAAATTTGACGCAAACCACAATGAAGCTATGCCATCCTTTTAAGTCAAATTAGAATTGAAGGAGGTTATGAGATTTATTTCTCTCTACCAAATTGAAGAAAATGTTAGGAATGATGTTTTAGGCGTGTTCAATAGTTTCAGAAAATGAAGGAGCTTAAGTGATTAATCTTCTATTCCCAAATAAGAAAAAAGGTTAAAAGTTTTATAGGTGTATCGGATAATTCCAAGAGTAAACTTTATATACTTCATCTGCACCAAAACGATTGGTACAGGCTCGTACATGTTTAAAATATTTAACTTAGTATTAGTGAGTTGTGAGTAAAATTTAAATACTTACGAACTACACAAGAAGTTACATTAAACATAAAAATCCATATTAAAAAAATTAAAAATATGTATTAAAGGGAAAAGGAGAAAGAAGAAAGAGTGTAACAAATGCATTTATATCATATGGGACAAAATATGATAATTTAAGACTGCAAATAACACAAACCATCAAGTTATTGTATCAAAAAAAATATCAAATCATCAATTCCATAAACATCACACCAAATCCTAACTAAAAAAAATCTTTATATCATGTTGCTTGCAATATAATTTCAGTCCTAAGTTAGCCTGTCTATAGCAAGATCCCATAAGAATGCATTAAAATGATTTCACTTGAGATAAGCAACAAGCACCTTATACTTTCCAAGGAAGCTATGCCTCTGCCCAGTTATCATCATGTCCACATCTCGATCCAATGTAATTTTTACTGGACGATTCAAAAGGTATGAAGGAACAGAAACTACAGCAGCCACAAAAGCAGATCTAGTCTCCTTGCCTCCAAACCCACCACCTATTCTTTTGGTCTTACAAACCACTTTAGACATTGGTAGACCAAGAACATGAGACACATACTTCTGATGTTTCTGAGGGGCCTGGAATATAGAAAGTTGTTTTTATATGAATTTCCACATAAACAATTACCTATGCTAGTTGACTGTGAAGTAATACTCCCTCTGGTCCCATTTTACTATTTTACTGCATAGATTACCAAATTCCTTGTTCCTTTTAATCTTTCCAGTTATGGAATCTGAGCACATTAACTAATTTTCTACCAATTTACCCTTCTTATACTCTTCCATGTATCATTTTCTTAAAAGTTTTTATTAATTTATCTTACCAATACATTTTTTTAAACCCATGTGACTTGGCCATCTAAACAGATAAAATGGACTGGAGGGAGTACCAAACAGAAAATGAGACTTCTGTCAACATGTTTGTTGAAATGGTAGGATACAGATGAATCCCCTTCACAGCTCATCCCCAACACATGCACACTCACACAATTTACATACAACACATTCACCGCCCTAACTTCTATTACACTTCATACAATGGTGTGATCTCGAATCAAGTAAAATATCAGGTAATATTAATCTTAATACTATCGTTTGCAACAACTACTTTCACTTTCTGGTTTTAGTGAGCATGGAAGATTGTACATTTGGATGGATTATATTCCCTTCAGTGTTATTCTATGGAGAACTCAGAACAGTTGATTTGTCTCAGACTTTCCACACACTAAATCACCCGGTATTACTACAAAGTACAACCCCTCAATCCGGTTCGGCTTAACCGGTTTGGCCCCAACAACCTATGCTGAAAACCGGATTCGGGTAGTTTACCATCTTCCACGTGGATGATTTAAGAGGGTCTATAATTATAATTAAATATAGAACTGCATAGAGTTTTCATTTTGAAGCATATCAAATGCCAAGCTGACAGTATGAAGGAAAATGCAATTGCAAATTGATTTGCTTTATACCTATTTATTTATAAAAAATAAAAAACATAGATATCAAATATATAAAATGAGAGTTGATCAACCTGTGTAGATGAGATCATGTGCACCTCGTTGCCACTATCCACTGGCCATATTAGAGTACTATGAGGCTCCAAGTAAAAGTGTTCCTGGCCACCAACATGGACTTCTCCTTCTATAACCCTATCACACTGACCCGATTGAAAACACTGTTCAGCATCCCCCTTTCTCAAAAACCTTTCAGTGTTAGGATGAAAACTATTAGCCTGGACTGCATCCTCTATAGATAATATTGCGGGCAGATCGTCATACTCAACATGAACCCTTCCAGCAGCATGTTTTGCATTTTCATGAGTATCAGCGACAACCACTCCAATAACCTTCAATCGATAGATATTAGCAAATGAAGTGTGTGAGTTAAACATGTGCACACACAGGAGAAGTTTCAATGATACTCCACACGCATTAATAAGAATATTTGTAGAAATATTGTTAGTCTCCACAGAAACTCGCATTCCTTATACAGAAATAGTATGCAGCACAAACCATACCTGACCTACACAAGTAACGTATTCCACTGCAAAAAGTTCTTCATCCTCTACAATTGGTCCGATCATATTCTTACACGGAACGTCTTTGGCATAAAATACTCCAGCAAATCCAGGAAAGGCCTTGGCCTCTGAATCATCTATTGAAAGTATACGTGCATGAGGCTTTTTACTCAATATAAGTGCAGCATGCAAACTATGTGGGGGCATGGGCATGTCGTCAGTATATTCAGCCTCCCCTGAAACCTGTGGGGATGCCAACCAAAATATCAGAGGCTACCTTACATAAGAAACAAAAAGAGCTGTAGAAGGAAAATTAGTAAAAGCAGTTAAATTTGGAATTGGGCAGCTTTAGGCAAGGGCTCCCTGCTCAGCATATATATCTATTTCATGACATATTTTAGTTTCATGAGATCACGTTAAAATAGTCAATTACATTTGAACCAAACCACTTCAGTTGTGGATAATTGATAGAATGGCCATGGGAAACGGTGTTGGTGAAAGATAAAGTTACTAAAAAAGCAAATACTTGCACTCCGATGCATCAGCTACTTATAGTACCACATTACTACCTCTCATACATGCACACGAGCATAGGGGCACAGGTAGCCAAGGGCAGTAACCAATCAAACATTTGATATTATGAAAAGTAATCATGAATAGTACACTTATAGATTAATCATACGTCATTGCTAGGGTCTTTTATTTTTTCGAAGGCAACAAACTTTCATTAATTCAACAAAGGAGCAATAAAATCCAGCGGTGAACTATCCAAAACACCAGTATGGATTTCCAACCGTTTAGCAAGACAATGCGCAACAACATTATAAGATCTACAAACAAAGGATAAAGAAAAATGATCAAACAAAGATACAAGCAAGCCACTTGCAATCATCAGTCACCAAACCTAAATAAGAAGCACAATCTAAAGCTCCTTTATTAATGGCCTCCACAACTCAAAGGCAATCAGAAAAAAGCATCACAGTCCGGTAGCCACTTTCTTTTAACCAAGACAAAACTTCTTGACATGCCATAGCTTCAGCCAATGCCAGTTCTTGAGCACAACAGATCCTTTGAGCAATAGCCCCTCCGAATCCCACTAAGCCAAGGGAGGGGAAAATAGAAGCATCAAAAAAACAGTGAATAGCACCAGGGATGGGACCCTTCTTAGACGGGGGTGACCCAGGAGTCCCACTAATCGGTTTCCTTCCAAGCAGCACCCAAAGTCGTCACCAACCAAAGAGCCGCCGCCGGGGTCAGCACTCGGCTTTCCCATACTGCAGTTTTACGACATTTCCATATTGTCCAAATGGTCCAACATATAGAGGCGAGCTCTACTGTTGAAACTGCCAAAGTAATCGCCTGCAACCAATTCGTAAGAGACGTCGCCCCAGCACAAGGACTCAAGGAGTAACACGCAACCCACTAGCCTCCCAAACCGAAACTGCAAATGGACAGAGCAAAATTAAATGCTCGATCGTCTATGCCCCTGGAATTCAAACAATAAATGGTCGGAAGAATACCTCGTAATACCCACCATACACAAATCTTCACCTTGGGGGTGATAGAATTTAGAATGAGGTAGTGATAACTGGATTGGGCAATAAGACACTTGGGCTGAACCACATTAAAAGATTGAATCCAATCGATTACTTAGTTCAACTCAAGACCTTATATACCGATAACTTTTCTATTCAACTTCCGATGTGAGATAGACTCTAACACTCCCCCTCAAGTGCACAACCGGGCCATTTTGAATCTAACCGGTTGAGCACTTGCATGTTGGTTAATTCCAGTCCAGAATTAAGTTTAAATTTAAAAATAAGAAAAGAGACAGAGTTAGGCAGTTAGACAGACAGTTTTATGACAGTTTTATGACAGTTTCCAACAGTTGTGTTGGTTAGAAACTGTTGTGTCTATTTGTAATGGTTGTGTTGTTTAGTCCTCTATTTATATGTATGGAAACATAGTTATGGACAGCAGTTCCACAATAAATACACACTGTTTCTATACTTTAGATCTGTCATTATTTCTGTCAATTGGTATCGGAGCTCTGGTAAAAATAAAAACATCAAACACAGATCTGTGATCAGTAGTTGTCTTGCAATACACCTTTAAAAAATAGTCTGTGATGGAGGCCATCAATACTAAAAAAACAAACGATGTTGTTGCTGTTACCCAGTTCGAGATGGAGGCTCGACAACGTACCAATGTCCTGTACTCACTACAACAAATTATACATCTTGGGCTATCAAGATGCAGTCGTTTATGGATGCCCAAGGAATTTGGGATGCCATAGAACCACCGGATGCGACGGAGGTGGACGTCAAGATCCGGAAGAAGGCAAGGGCCTTTATCTTCCAGGCACTACCGGAAGACATTCTGATGCAAGTAGCAGGACATGCAGNACAACGTACCAATGTCCTGTACTCACTACAACAAATTATACATCTTGGGCTATCAAGATGCAGTCGTTTATGGATGCCCAAGGAATTTGGGATGCCATAGAACCACCGGATGCGACGGAGGTGGACGTCAAGATCCGGAAGAAGGCAAGGGCCTTTATCTTCCAGGCACTACCGGAAGACATTCTGATGCAAGTAGCAGGACATGCAGAGGCCAAGGACGTGTGGGATGCTCTTAGGGTGCGTTATCTTGGAGCCGATCGGGTTAAACAAGCACGAATCCAAACTCTCAACAGAGAGTTTGAACTACTGAGAATGAAGGAAAGTGAGAGTATTGATGATTTTGCAAGCAAGATCAGCAAGATCGCGTCTAAGGTTCGGGCACTTGGATCGACAATTGAGGAGAAGAAACAAGTAAATAAGTTGCTTAATTCTGCCACAAATAAGTTCCTTCCAATTGTTGCCACAATAGAACAGTATTCAGACTTGAATACTATGGTGTTTGAGGAAGCTGTTGGTAGTCTTAAGGCCTATGAAGAACGGATTACTCCTGGTGGATCAGTCAAAGATTCATCAGATCAATTGTTGTTAACAAGGGCTGAATGGAAAGAAAGGCAGAAAACTGAGTCAAGGCAGGCCGGCAGGGGTCGTGGAACAGGATTTAATGATCACCGTGGCCGAGGTCGTGGTCGTGGCAGACCTAACGAGCATGGACGAGGGGGTCGAAACCCCTCAAATAATAACCGAAGTTTTGGACAGGATGAACAACGTGGTAAACGTGACCGAAGGAACCTGCGGTGTTATAACTGTGATAAGCTTGGTCATTTCTCCGCCGAGTGTCGGGCTCCTAGAAGAACCGATGATGAAGTTAATCTAGCAAAGGAGGAGGATGAACCCACTTTGCTAATGGTAAAGAATGTACAAGATGTGGTGATGCTGAATGAGGAGAGAGTGTTTCCTTGTGAATATGCCAAAGAGAGAAGCGAGGAAGGCACGTGGTATTTAGATAATGGTGCTAGCAATCACATGACCGGGGAACGGGGTTATTTTAGCAACCTCGATGAAAAGATAGAGGGACGTGTGAAGTTTGGAGATGGTTCAACAGTTGAAATCAAAGGCAGAGGGTCTATTCTTTTGCAATGTAAGAATGGTGACCAGAGGCTCATCACCAACGTCTACTATATTCCAGACTTATGTAATAATATACTAAGTTTGGGCCAACTTGACGAGGTGGGATGCAAAATTGTTATGGAGGACGGTTTTCTTTGGCTATATGACCGTTCGGGGGCAACATTGATGAAAGTGAAAAAGTCTCCAAACCGACTATACAAGGTACATCTTCATATAGTTCCACCAACATGTTTACTTGCAAAGATGGATGAGGCGGCCTGGATTTCGCATGCACGCCTTGGACATTTAAACTTTGATGCTATAAGGAAGTTATCAAAAGAAAAATTGGTGATTGGTGTGCCAAACATAAATCACAAGTCACAATTGTGTGAAGCTTGTCTCGTTGGGAAGCAACGACGTCTTCCATTCCCATCCCAAATTTCTTATCGAGCACAGCAGCCCCTTGAACTGATACATGCTGATCTGTGTGGTCCTATTACACCGAGTACACCATCTAGGAACAGGTACTTTTTATTGCTAGTTGATGATTTCAGCAGATTTATGTGGGTATATGTTATCAAGTTCAAAGGCCAAGCATGTAAGGCATTCAACAAGTTCAAGAAGTCAGTTGAATTGGAAAGTGGTTACAAGGTGACAGCATTGAGAACTGATCGGGGTGGTGAGTTTGTCTCTACCAACTTTGAACAACTTTGCAATGAAGAAGGTATAAATAGGTATTTAACCGCACCATATACGCCACAACAGAATGGTGTGGTTGAACGCCGAAACCAAACTGTTCTTGGAACCACAAGATCTATGTTGAAGGCCATGAATTTACCCCAATGGTTGTGGGGAGAAGGTGTACGACATGCTGTCTACATCTTGAACAGAACCCCAACAAAAGCTATAGAAAAGAAGACCCCGTATGAAGCCCTGAAAGGACGGAAGCCCAATTTGGAACACCTAAAGGTGTTTGGATATATGGCGCATGTCAAAGTACCAACACCCAAATTAACAAAGCTGTCAGACAGGAGCGAGGCAATGGTACATCTCGGGAGTGAACCAGGAAGCAAAGCATATCGACTTTACAACCCAAAGACAAAAAGGATATGTGTTAGCAGGGATGTCCAATTCGAAGAAAACAGAGCGTGGGACTGGGCTAAAGATTTGGAGACAGAGGGAAATGAAAGTCAGGTTGAATTTGTTGTTGAAAATGAAGCTTGTGTGACTGGTCAAAAATTGACTCAAAATGGTGGCAGCCCACTCAATACCTCACCCAATCACACTGAAGACCTCGCTGCTCCAAACGTACAGAATGAGTGTGAATCTGTTAGCACACCGGAGAATTGTTCGTTGTCTAGCCCAAAGTCGCCTGCCTCGGTTCCAAGCAGCCCGCATGGGTTTGAAAATCTTAGTACATCAGGTGCAAGTCCTATTTCAAGTTCACATTACGATGATACACCCCCTTGAGGATTTCGCCACCTAAATGATGTGTATTCAAGAACTCAATCGATACAAGAGAAGGCTTTCAATCCACCTCACTTTGATGACGCAGAACTATTACTATCCAATGAAGAACCAAGTACCTTTAATGAAGCCAAAGATAGCAAAGAATGGAATGCTGCAATGCAAGACGAATTGGACTCTATAGAAAGGAATGGAACCTGGAAATTGGTTGAACTCCC